CCCCCAGGGTGCTGGCCAGGACCCCAGTCTCTGCTCTGACCCCCGACATGGCTGCAGCCCGGCCTCCAGCACAAGCTCTCTGCCCACACAGCCATTTCTGCCCCTTCAGCTGCCTGTCCCTGCCCGGGGCATGGCCCCGTGTGGCATGAGCCCACCTCTTAGGAAGGGTGACCAGAGGTGCCCCAATGGCAGGGCAGGAGGAGGGGGACACCTCCACCATGTCTGCACCCACTGCCGCACTGGGGTCCTGCGAGGGGACACTTTGTGTCTAAGGGCACCCATACAGCGAGTGTGGCCCCCCCCAGGGTGCTGGCCAGGACCCCAGTCTCTGCTCTGACCCCCAACAGCTGCTTCTCCGAGAGTGAGGAAACAGGGCGGATATCCACCACGGGCAGCTGCCTCTTTATGTAATGCAGGGAGTAAAGTCACAGTCCCTGTGGCACGCAGCTGTAGAGCAAAGCAGGAATTTTGGAAGCCCCACCCGTCCCCATCACAGCAGGTCTCCCCGGGAGGAGGGAGCATCTGGCTTCAATCAGCTGTACCTTGGAAGAGGCTCGGTTGGCTGCGCAGGCAGCGATGAGCACCCACGTCAGGTTGGGGTCATGGCCGCAGGGAGACATCAGACCTGGCAGGGACCTGGCAGGATGCTGGAGCAGAGCCAGGATGCTGTGCTCGATTCCCCCCATGACAGAGATGTTGGAGGCACCTGGCACAGCCATGGCCCCAGTGTCCCCCCGGGAACGAGCTGGGATGGTGCAGCAGAGGCTCACTCACCACTGCCCCTGCCATACCCCTGCAGAGGGGAGGGCAGACCTGGTCCCTTGCCACCTGGGAGTGGATCTTTGCTCCACCATGCCTCAAATGTCAGCGGAAAATGAAACTCTCTCATGGCCGCAGCCAGGGAGGAGGAACGGGGAGCACTGAGCACGCGCCAGGTAACGCTGCTAAGGCAGGAGACAGTTTTATCTCTGCCAAGAGGAGAAAAGCGCTGGCAAGCTGGAGCCTGGGATACAGGCAGGGCTGCTGCAACAAGGCACAGGGATGGTCTGGGGCAGGAGAACACCTGCAACGAGGGACCAAGGGGATGAGCAAGAGCTACTGGGTGCCAGCTCGCAGGTCTGAGATGCACCAGGCACTCCCTTAACCAAGACAGCCCTGCACAGCCCAGCAACCTGTCCTGGTGAGGACCAGCCCCAGGACCTGGGGCCTTCTCCAGGTCACCATGTCCTTGGTTCATCTCCCAGGGATTTGCAATGGCAGACAGCGGGTGCAGAGTGTGTGGGCTGACAGCGCGCTGGGTGCTGGAGCTGCTGTAAACTGTCCAGGGCAGCAAGGACCCGCAATGGGCAGAGCAGTTTCTGACCACGCGGCAGAGAAGAAAAGCAAAAAGCACAAAACGTACAGGCTGGGGGCCCAAGATGTGGCTGTTCCTGCTGGCATTTGGGATAATTGCTCTGCTGGGAGAGCGGTCCTTCTCTAAGGGGGGGTAGCTGGGCACGCAGCCCAGCTTCCAAGGGCGTGAGAAGGGCATGGAGCTGGGCAGGAGAAGAGAGAAACTACAAATAGACCTGGGTGACTGGATCCTTCCCAAACTGCATGGCTGAGGACACAGAGGATGAGGTCCTGCATCCCCTGGGGCAGCATGGGGGCCGGGCACACTGTGAGCCTCTGGGTTGAGCCCAGGCGAGGGCCAAGCACACCCCGCTCCCAATAACAGCCCCCCTCTGGCAGTGGCGACCCCTCATGCGGCCTCACCCTGGCGCCAGTGATAAATGGCTGGTGATATGAGTGTTGACTACGTGGTGTTGCACCTTGGTTTGACAACCTGAAGCGTGGAGGTGCTGAGGTGACGCTGGGGACAGCAGAGACCTACTCCACGCAGCAGTTTCCAGATGTGATCAGAGCCCTGGAGGCGCATTCACAGATCTGTGCAAACCCAGCTCTAGCGGGAACAGAGCCTGAAGAGAAAGGAAGATGTTCACCCACGTGACCCAGTGCATCGCTTACAGACCTGGCCACAAACCCAGGTCTCGTGGCTCCTGGACTGCCACTGCCCCCACAGTTAAGGGTGCCTAAGTGGACACAGCCCAGACACACAGGTGAGGGTCAGGCACAGGCCAGACCCATCAGGGACCCAGAAACATCGTGGTGCCCGGCAGCTCGAGGTCAGCCCTGCAGCTCCCAGTGGGACCCTGGTCCCAGCAGGCCCATCGCACTTCTGGAGCTCCCCCGCCACCCCGACAGCAGTCCCGCAGGAAGCGGGCCCGGGGCCAGCGTTGCCAGGCCACAGCCAGGACATTCCCCTGGGCCGGGGCAGCAGCGGCCGTGGGGCAGAGCTGCCCTGGCTCTGCACAGAGCAGCATTGAGTGGGGACAATGACCCTCTCTTTGAAAGCCTTCACGGGCTCTGCATCCAAGCAAAGGCATAAAATGGGAACTGATGGCAATTATCATCCCCCCTCCTTGCCCTGTCTGGGACTCACAGCTGCCCTAAGCACCACTTGAAAGAGGCTGCAGCAAAGATCCCTCTCCCAACTGCGGGGGACTTGGCTCGGGTCCCCCTCCTGGCTCCGCTCCCGGCAGGAGTGGCACAGACAGCTCATCCCCAGAGGACTCTGCAGGGTGCAGGGGGTCCCAGCTCATGCCACAGCCTGGCTGTGCCAAGGGGCAAAGGAAGGTGCCTCCAGCCAGCGTAGAGCCCCAGGTTCACCCCGAGTGGCTGCTGCCACCCTCAGCACAGGGCAGAGGGGTGTGCGCCACAGCACGCCGTGCCAGCGAGGTCCCCTCCAGCTGCCCCTGCAGGAAGGAGTCACTGCAGAGCACCATGGCCACCACTGCCCAGAGCCACAGGGGCCAGCTCTGAGGGAGGGGGCTTAAAAAGAAACAAGAGTTTGTGAACTACACCAGCACCATCTGAGGAGCACGAGCCCCCAGCAACAGCTTCTGGAGGAGCAGCCAGATGAAGCTACCAGCACTGGAAGGGGTACAGGTGGCTTCATGACCCCGTCCCACAGCAGTGAGAAGAGACCGGGGCGTCCCCAGCCCCAGAGCACAGGGAAGCCCAGAGGGCACGGGAAAGGGCATGGGAACATGGCCTGGAGCAGAGACCCCCTGGGCTCCTCGTGCTCAGGCTGTGATTGTGCAACCTCAGCTCACCCCACATCCCATGGGACAGGACAGTCAGGAACTTCAAGGCTCGCAGCAGTAGATGGGCTGATTTAGGCAGAGACAGAAGGATAAGTTAAATAGTTCACCCCACTTTATTATCCCTACAGAGAGGTGACCCTCCTCATAAAGAGGGTTGCTTTTAATTAAACCTCAGGCAAAACAGGCACTGGACACCAGAGGCGGCATCATGAAAAAGGTGGCAGGCACCAATGCCCAGGGGACAACTAACACCCTACTCCTGCAGATAGGGGACATGACTAGCCATGGCCTTGCTCCTCCTCCTCCCCGGCACTCTGCTGATCCCCACTACGGCATAGGGCAGCAGGCACAAGGGTAGAGCAGGGATTCATGCCTTGCAGTGAGCTTCAGGTCAAGATCAACCTCAAAGAGAGGAGCTGGATGGGACAGACAGCACTGGACAGATAAAAACAGGAGTGAGAAAGGAATTGGTCTGCATGGTGTCCAGCCCATGGCAGGGCAGGTCCAGCACCTTCTGCCCAGCTCAGTGCATTGTGCCACAGCATCGTGCCAGGAGAATCAGAGTATGAAACAACCCTGGAGAGAAAGGTCCTGGTCTTGGAGTTACAGAGGGCCAGGCCTGTGCTACATGGGGATTCACAAGGGTCTCCTATGAAAGTACCATAAATACCAAGTACCAAGCCACAGTGGAAGACATTGTTCAGCTCAAGCATCATCACTGAGCTGGGTGGGAAGGAGGAGGTATCCCGAGATGCACCAGTCTAACAGGACCCACGCTTAGACCACCACCACCACCCCCCCAAGAGACCTGGAGAGGGGTGCAGTTCACACTCGGGATGTCACCCCAGGGAGCCAGCGTACACCACCAGGACAGGCAAAGCTGCCATTTCTCCACTTGGAGATGTGCAAAGGAAAGAGCCCATCAGCCTCCGTTCCGTCACCCACGTTCAGTTAAATACAAAACCTTGTCCTAAAGCCCCTCTGTGAAGTCAGGCTTGGGTTAGCATCCTCATGCTGTAGGACATCACCTCTCCTTTTAAAGTCATCATGAAAAAAACATAAGCCTGGCAGTCATAAGGAAACATTTGCCAGGTCAAGACAAATAAAGGGATGTAGAGGTGTCTGCCTCAATCTGCAAACAGCCTGAAACAGCAGCTCAGAGGTACGGGCTACCTCGTTTGGGTCTATGGCTCATTAACTACGGGAGCCTGCAGACGTGTAAACAGTGACTATGGCATCACTACCACAAACTGGAAAGAGGGATTACGCCAGGAGGAGCACCAGCTCGGGCACTGCTCTGGCCCGGTACAGTGTCACTGGCAGGCAGAACTCAGGCAGCAGAGAGGGGCCAGGCATGCCCCATTGGATTTTCAATCTTGTCTTCTGACAGCTGGACAAGCAGGGGACAGGCCACCCTTCAACGGCCAGGCTTGCCTGGAGATGCCAGCTGGAGTGTTGAAGATGCATCATCTTTTTCTGAGAGCAGCCAAAATTCAGCCTAAGTCAGGCCAAGGGCACAGCAGCTGCCCCCCATGCAGGCAGCATGGGCAGCAGCTGTTTCCCCCAGCACGTTGGGGACCACGGGGCTGGGGGTATGGTCCCTGCAGTCCCTTTAGAGACAGAAAAGGAGCAGCTTGAGAGCAGCACGGCTGGAAAGCCCAGCAGCAGAGCAGTGCAGGGATGCTCCCCAGGCGAGGTCGGGGAAGTGCCTTCCCGGCTTCCTCCTGCAGAGATGCCACCAGCAGCTCCAGACCTTGAGATACAACACTTGGAGCAACGGGTGCAATGGGTTTTGGGCAAGATTCCCACGAAACCCCCGGGGAAGCTCGAGGACAGGGAGCAGGGAGATGGGCGCTAGATGAAGGTGGAGTCCAGCTGGCTTGTTTCATGGTTATTGTGGGCGCGAGCCTCAAAGAGCTGCTTGATCAGGGCAGATTTCTCCTGCTCCAACTGGGTGATGCGTTCGCTCTTGTCGGTCACCTCCTGCACAGGACAGACGAAGAAAATGCTGTTCAGAGGAGGAAAATGCTGGCATTTGCTGCGCTGTGGGTGCTGGGATGTGAACCCCAGCAGTGAGCCTGGCCCTGGCAGGGGCATCACAGGTGCCCCTTCCCCAGCAGCCCTGCTCGCAGACCCCAGCCACAGCGTCTGCACCCTCTATGACATGTGTTTGTCAGAGTCCTTTCCCTCCGGCAGGGATGCCCCATGCCTGCTCACGGACCCTCACCCAGCAAACAGCTGGACACAGCTGCATGACAGGGGGTCTCCAGGTCCAGCCCACACACCCTTCTCTGGGATGACCAAGGCTGGCCAAGCTGAAGGAACACTTTCCACTGCCTCATATTCCTTCCCCAGCCCCATCCCACCCCTCTTCCTCTCCCAGCCCCCCTCCAAGGGGATGTCCTCCCCCTGTACCCCCATTCACCTTGGTGAGAAGCCGGTTTTGCTCCTTCAGCATGTTGATGGCTTGCTGAGAGCCTGCTGAGGCTGGGGACGCCACAGGGACCAGCCTGCTCAGAGCTGAGGAGGGGTTTGCTGGCTGCAGAGAAGATGAAGGGAAGGGATGAGACATTGAGCCTCCTTCCCGGTGGCCCTCCCCAGCCTTTCTCCAAGGCCAGAAGCTGTTTCTGTGGCACACGGGGAACTAAGAGAAGCCCAGCACAGGACTAAGACCCCAGCACAGGTCCTCGCAGGGTCTCCAGCAAGGCAGGCAGAGGTGGGAAGCTTTCTTGCCAGGAGCCCGGCAGGACAGCCAGCTCCGAGAGGGCTGACTCAGCACCTCAGCAGGATGGTTTCGTTATTCACGTGACAATGGCTACACCTTTTGGGGGATGTCCTTTAGTCCCCAAATGCCTTGAGCATCCTTCAGCCCAGCTCGGGACCAGCTGTGCTGTCCTCTTGGCTGTCCCCCATCCCCTATCTTGCCCACAGAGCCAAGTCACCTCCCCAGAGCCCGGGGAAACTCTGGCAGCCCTGATGTCAGCCCAGCCACCAGCGTAAGGGGGGGGACAGGATGGGTCCCAAGCTCACACAAAACAACCACATGCTGCTAATCTGCTGCTCTCACCTTGCCGGCGGTGGAAAGGAGGTCACCCAAGCAGCGGTTCACCTCCTGCAGCTTGGGGACCAGGCACCCCAGGTGGCTCTGGCTGCCCTCAGGGAGGAAGTCCTGGGGGACGGGGAAGAAGAAGAGGCTGGGGGTTACCATGGGGCCAGCTCCAGGTCCAACCAAGTCCCAGCCTGGTTCTCCAAACCCACAGAGCAGCCCCAGACCCTCCCAAGCAGACGGTCACCCCAAGAACAAGCCCCAGACTCACAGCACTGGTTTTGTTCTTCCCCAGGAACCTCTGGCGTTCCTGCATGAACTGGATGTGCTGGTGGTACCACTCCCGGGTGCGCTCTACGAGCTCCAGACCCTGCAGCAGGAAATCCTTCTCCTGTTCCAGCTCCTTCATGTGCTTCAGCTGCAGGACAGAGCACGCAGAGATGTCACCCCCTCCCCACCAAGGCCTTGTCAAGCCCCAGGAGCTGGTTTCTTCACAAGGTGCAGAGAGATACAGATATGGGCAGGGGTCTCAGCCCCTCTCCTCACGAAAAGCCGTGGAGGAGCGGGATGATGGCTGCTGCCTGATGCTGCTTTGGGGGAAGAGTTCTCCAGTTTGGGAGATCCACCAAAGCAGGTGAAGGACAGTCAGGCCACCTCCACCCTCCTCCCCACTGCAGGTTTCTCTGCCTCATATTTATCCAGGGACGCAGTAAGAGCAGGGCCTGCAGCTGCTCCCCAAGTCCCCCCCAAGGCTGCGAGTGTCAGCTAGCAGCACAGATACACATGGCTTTTGGCGAGTGGCAAGCAGTCGAGCTGAATGTGCAGACTGGAAGCCAGGGGAAAACCTGCAGCCCTGTTTCCCCAGCGCTCTGCTCTGCTCCCCATTCTGTTTTACCCCCAAGGCACCTCCAAGCTGAGCAGACCACAGCATACCTTTCTGCTAAGTATCTCTGTGAGTCTTTCAGGTTCAAGCACCAGTGTCACCTGGAGAGGGACGTGGGGACGTTTATGTACCTGGAGGGCTGCTACAACAGTGCCCAGGTCTCCTGCCCCCAGACCAGCCCCCTAGGACAGGCAGAGCAGGACCCTGCACTGGGTCACGGCATAGCCAAGGCTGCTGCAGGGAAGGCAGCCTGGCCCCTCCATCAACAGCGGGGCTGGAGCAGCGGTCTGTGCCCCAGGGGACACGGGGTCCCCTGCTCTGCTGCCACCTTCTTCTCCTGCAGCCCCTTGGCACTGCGCTGCCACCGGCAATCACAGAGGTGGTGAGAGAAGAGGGGACATCCCTGGGGAACAGAGCAACTGGTGCATCAATCCTTTCATCAGCCCTCACCCAGTGAGTCCAGGGCTCCTGCTCCCCTCCTCCCAAGCCGTGCCAGCCTGCTCCCCCGGCTCCTGCCCCACTGTCTCCATGCCAAGAGCACGGGGAACTGCCTGCCTTGCTGCCTGTGCCTTCTCTGCCACAACACAGCCTGGCCTCCACCGCCCACGGCACAGACTGGGCTCCAGGAGTCTCCTCCAGGCACCAGTGGGACTTTGATCACCCAGGAGCTGCTGGATGCTCAGGAACCTCTCCTGCTGCTTTGGGGAGCATCTGGAGGGGGACAATTCAGCTTAGAAATGACCCTGAACAGATCCCCACCCCCAGGGACGAGTGAGACCATACCAAGACCTTCTTCAGGCCGCCAGCACTTCCCCGTCCCCACTGCCAGCCCCAAAGCCTCCCACCCCATGCCAGCCACCCTTTACGCCAGGGCTGCTCTTGCTCATGCTGCTCCTGGAAATGCTGTTTGCAACACGACAGTCGTCCCTCCCCCCACATGCTTGGCTGGACAGACGGACCAAAGGGGACGTACCCACAGGAAGAAGCGCAGAGCCTTGGTGCTATGCAGGCTGTTGCTGAGCGGCATGAAGAAGATGCTGTATGTGGCAAGGACCCCTACCCAGCTCGGGCTGCAGCCCACAACCACCTGGCCTGGCCTGGCCCCACCAGGCTTGCTGGCCAGCACTGTGACCGGAGGAAGAGGCAGCATCCCACAGAGCAGTGGGACATCACCAGCCCTGCTGGGTGCGGGGACAGACAGCATCTCGCTAAGGATGGAATGCTGTGGGGGCAGAGGCAGCTTCTGGGGCAGGAGAAAGACAGAGCACTGGACTTGGCTGGTGCTACCCAGGGTAGAAGGGGAGGGGACAGTGCCGTTACCCTGGGGGGCCTACAAATGAAAGCGCTCAACCTCTCACAGAAGGTCTCATCCCAGCTACCCCCTGTGGCATGGGGAAATCAGGCCAATCGATGATGAACTGGCTGAAAAACACCAGCTGAGCAGACACCAACCGTGGTGGTGCAAAGGGTCCCGGGGCTGCAGCACAGCCCCCACACCTCCGCTTTGCTGCTCAGGATGAACCCGTCCTAGTGCACCCTGGGATGCAGGACAGATACCAGTGCTCCCATCCCCCCATGGGCTTTAGGCAAGTTAGTCTAATCACAGCTGAGTGCCTTGTCTCTGTGGGGGCCCAGCATCCTCCCAGCATCAGGGGGGAGGCAACAGCACCGCCCTGCACAGGGATTCAGTCCTTGCTGGACTCAAACCTGCTCCAACTGTCTCTGTATGCTCAGAAGTGGGAATAGTACCCACAGGCTCCTGCCAGGGTGCCAGGGAAGGCCTCTCACCTGTGGGACAGGGACAGACACCCCTTCTCCAGGGGGAGGAGCATGCTAAAGGCAGTGCAGCACTTGGGTACAGGGGGAGGGGGGAAGAAAGGCAGAGGACCTCCCTCCCATTGCCCCCACAACAACTTGGGGAAACAGAGGCAAGGGCAACACAAGCCCAGAGCAAGAGCGCTTGTGGCAGAGCTGGGAACAGACCCCAGCTCTTGGCGAGACACGCTGGCCACCAGCCCCTCCTCACCAGTACCAGGCAGGACCTTGAGATCATGGCAGTGATGGGCTCCAGCCTGGAGCTGCACGCAGAAGGAAGAGCCTTGCCAGGGAAGGAGGCACCTTCCCCCTCTCCGAAGCAGCAACTCCCAGCCACCAAAACCCTGAGGACCAGAGACACTCATCCCCAGACACAAACATCTACATTGATTACTCCTTGCCAGCACCTCTCAGCAGAGACTCCCTCGGCCCAAGAGCACCCCAACCCCTTGCATGGCTGCAAGCCCAGCAAACCATGTGTGCACAAACCCCACCTCCCCAGGCCAGGCATCGGAGCATGTTATGTCCCCCAAGGCCAGCGCCAGGCTGTAATCGATGCTGCCCATGCTGCCAGTCAGCCCTGCTGGGCTCAGGGAGCAGGGTGACACCAGGGTGCGAGGAGTGGAAGTGCAGAGGTGACAGGCGCAGTTTCAGCAGCAGCTCCGACACCGGCCAGAGCTCGTCCTGCCGATCACTCATCCTGCAGGCTGAGTCCTGGCTCTCTTCCCAGGAAAACTTAGCTTGAGCTTGTGGGCAACATGCCCAGGCAGCTCCTCCATTCCACTTGGAGCAGTGCAGATCCCTTCATCCAGGCAATCTGATCCAAGCCTCTCCACTCAGGGACGGAGAGAGGAGAGCAGATCCCTCCATCCTGGGCTGCCCGGCTAAATTCAATGCTGATTTCTCTGCATTAGTGGCAAAATGTCTCCCGGGAGCCAGGAGGATCAGCGTGCTTGAGCCCCGACCTACAGAGAACATCTGGTAGAGGGGACAGCCCAGCACCACTGCTCGCCAGCGCAGAGCGTACCTGACCTTTGCTGGAGTGCTTGAAAGGCCCAGAGACCCACCTGCTCCTACACCTCCCTTTTGCCTTTCCCTGCCCAAGTTTTTGCCCATGAGGAAGACACCCGTGCAGTCAAACGCTGGCTCTGTGGGCTGACCCCACTCCGGAGGAAGGCAGGGGAACATGTGCCTCCTCCCCGTCTGGCACGATTCAAGACACAAAGCACCTTGGAAGGAATGGCAGGACCTCCATGTACATCAACAGAGCTGTGTTTCCAAAATACCAGGATCTGCCAGACACCCCACAGCTCACACATGCAGGGTGGGCAGTGGGGAGCCACAGCCCAAACACAGCTCGTGTCAGCGGTGAGGGACTCCTGCAATCCACCTTCCCCCAGGGACCACAGGCCCCTTCACTGGAGCCCATGACAGCGCTGTCCCCTTACCATGCTGAAGTCCACGCCATTGGTGATGGTGTGTCTCCGGTGTTCTGCACGCCCCCTCTGATGCCTCCGAGTGTCCCCAGCCCCTGGATGGTTGCTATCTCCCTGGGACTGCCCAGCAGCCTTAGCATCACCACCTGTAACAGAGGAAAGCATGAGGCCACCAGCCGCTTGCAACAAAAACCTCCCCACGGCCACTTCTATGGGACTATCTGCAGGGTGGTCTTGCAAACGGATGTGGCAGGGAGCAGCTGAGCAAAACACCAGCCCGAGTGCCTGTTCGCATCTTTGTATGGGCAGGGCAGGCTTCAGCAGTGACTTACTTGGCTGCTCCAGGCTGGCAACAGACCTCAGTGGTCATTTTCTGCAAAAAACACGCAGCTTCCAGGCAATGCTGTTTCAGTCCCGGCACGGGCAATTAAACCATTAGTGATATTGCCTACCCTCGTCCCTGTCCTCATGGGACCCCTGGCTCCCACTCAGGTGGCACAGGCTCTGCCAGGAACCTGACTCCTCCTGAAGGCAGCTCCTGCTTCGTGATGGGCTTGGCCATGCAGATGTCCCCCCCAGGACCCCGTGCCTGTGGTTTAGCCATGGAGTAAATCAGGCTGTAGGTTTTCCAAAATTTTATTGAAATCCCAACATCCTATCTTGCAAAAGACTGATCTACTATAAACACGACGCTGGTGCAAATCCATGCATAACCTATTTTTGCAGATTAAATTCGTATTGGCAGGTTTTAGGCTGGATCAGACACCTCCTGCCTGTACGCCAAAGCAGCTATTGGCTGGGCACCTGCAGTAAAGTCAGTACAAGTCCTGCACCGCCCGCCCTGGTGAACTCACCAGAAACGCAGCCCTGCAGCCACGGCCAAGCCAGCTCAGATCCCCGCTTCTGGCCAAGCTGGCAGAGCACCACCCTGCCGCCCCAAACCGCGGCGCCAGGGCAGCCAAGGGTGCAGCCAGCACCCTCCCCAGACGTGCCCGGGCAGCAAGCCTGCTGCACCTTCCTCTTTGTCCCGGTCCCCTGCTGAGTCCCCAGCAGACCCTGCCTCATGCTCACCCCCTCGCTCTTGCAGCTCACCCCGCTCTCTGCACACAGCTTTCCTCAAGAGTTTCTTTCTCAACCTAGCTTTCAAACAAGAGCAGCACAGAGGTAGGCAGTGAGGCAGCTGGGGAAAACATGTCCTCCTCAGGACTGCTCCCCACGTATCTCCCAGGCACCCCCACCCATCGCCACATCCTTCTCCCACGGGTTGGGCACACGCCGGCTCCCAGGCGCCAGAGCTGCCTGGCCCAGGTCTAGCACATTCCCTGCTGTGCAGGCATGAAGGGCTGCGAGCGCTGGGGCAGGGTGCGTAGCATTGCCTGGGCTGGCACATCGCTGCCCGTTGCTCCACAAGTCTCGTCAGCCGAGCACATGGACATGATGGAAGAGAGATACGGGGCAAGAGAGGGCAGCTGTGGCCACAGGAGCCACCCTTCACCTTGAAGGCAACGAGGTCTGGGAGAGTTGCACCATACTGGGGCTGCCTGTGCTGCCACATTTATGCCGCTTCAGCAACAGGAGCTGGACTCAGGCTCACGGGGCAGCAGGCAATGCTACACAAGCACCTCGCTCAGCCTGTCACTTTGTGTCACTGGGGAAAGAAGCCACCGTGGCACAGGAAAAATCCTCCTTCTGGTCCATCATGGCATCCCACTTCTCCTACCAGGAAATGCTCCGGTGTAGACAGGTCTCCAGCACATCAATAAACACAAAGTCTTTGATATTGCCCATTCATCTCTTTTGTCAACTGTCTTTGGTTTCATACACCCATATCAGCCCAGCAGCGGCTGGCAGGCTGCTCCAGCACCGCCGGGCTGATGAGAGCTTCTGAGAAGCTGGAAGCTGACTCTGAGCAGCGACTTCTTCAGAAGCACTTCTGCCCATACACTAATGGAGGTTAGTGGGGAAGAGGGGACAGAATCAGCGTCCCACTGGCTCCCTGCACCCCTGGACACACCAGAAGGATCACCTGGCCCCAAGGTCTGCCATCTTGCCATGATTTGCATCCAAATCACCTCCGATACATGCAGATGCCCCCTGGACCAGAAAGCAGAGCTAGGGTGGCATCCTATGAGCACCTCCTTTCCCCAAAACACAGACAGGGAGAGTTTCCTCAGACTCTCTGCAGTTGATGAGCACTGATACACCATCTCGCAGCACTTGGTTAGCTCTCACAGAAGCTACCTCATGCAACTGGAGGCTCAGAGCAGCCTCAAGCCCAAATGATATAATCTTAACAGAGACAGGGCTTCCTGGACCCATGGGCAGCTCTCAGCACCCAGCACGTTTCTCCGCAGCGAGAAAGAGCTACCTCCTGCCACAGCAGCATCCAACTCCCTCACAGCCAGTTGAGGAGACCATCTACCCATTCAACCACACCCTGGGAAACCCTCCATGGTGGGAGGGAGCACTGAGCAGCTGTGCAGGATTCGGAGCTAAAAGAGATAGAATAACTCTGAGTTATAATGTTCGCTAAGCTGCTGAATCAACCTGAAGTTCAGGCCTGTTGCCAGAATACGGCCCTGCACTGCAGGAAGCTGGCAGCAAGGGCTGAGGCACTAAACCTGCCCGCAGGCTCAGGACATGAGTATAACATCAACCTATAATGGAAAGATCCTCAGCAACCCAAAAGCTGCTGTAGTCATCTGCTCACTCCTTTCCAGGGCAGAGCTTTCAATTTGCTGTTTATTTACCAAGCAGGATTTTTTTTCAGGTTTTTCCAGATTTACACTCTTGACGATAGAAGAACCAGCCTGCTTAATAATATTGCCCTAGACGAAGCTCCAGTGATTAGTCTGGAGGCAAAATGGAAAGCAGAGAACCTCAGCCACAGTTAAAGTTTCTTCTCCACCCAACAGAAGAAGGAACTGGGAGGGAATGGGTGGGAAGGGAAAGCAAACCAGCCCAGACAACTTTCCCAAGGTAGAGGAAATCATGGTGCTCAAGTGTTGCAATAACAAGCACCAGCTCCTCACACAGACCTTTGTGTCCGTAGATCTCAAAGCGCTTCACAAATCTAGATAAAGAATTACTACCTACACCAGATAAGTCCAGAATAAAGAATTACTACCTACACCAGATAAGTCTAGTTCTAGTATCTAGTATCTACACCAGATAAAGGCCTAGTTTCCTTTATAACGCCTCCTACTGACGAGCAACAAGTCAAGATGCCAGTGAAACAGTCTCCCCCTCACCAAGGTCAGCGTGCCACCCGGGGGTGGGGAGCCCTAGCAGACCCAGCACGGGGACCCCAGGTCCCAAGGAAGGGGCAGAGTCCGCAGGGACCTGCCGGTGAGCTCTGCCTGGCCTGGCCACCCGGACAGCGCCTGGGGACAGCAAAGCACATCTCCCTGATGCCGCTTTCCCATTTAATTATTGCTTAATTATTTGTTATTGTAAATAGTGCTGCGGAATTATCCGAACAAAAAAGTTGGATCGGGTTTCGCTATTTTTTTTTGTCCAAAATGTGGATGAAATCGTGAACCAAGCCTTTCTGAGGGCACACCCACAGCGTGGAGCCCACCTGAGCACAGGGCTGCTCAGTGACTGCAGCTCTCACTCCAGCGAAGCTGCTCGGCTCTCGGAGACCCCAGGGCCCAGCAACTCTCCGAGACGACCAGCTGCATTACCCACCCCCCAGGAAGGTCACCTACAGACTTTGCGCCAGGGGACAACCACGGACACGTTACTGTAAAGCCCTTAATTCTTCTTGTCACCACTATAAACAGACAAGCACCCACGCGAGGAGAGATGTGAAGGGAAGCACAAACCCGAGACGGACAGCGGAGCAGGGCACTCTCCATCCCGGTTTACCCGCAGCTTGGATCAAAGCCCACCAAAGCCAAAATTAAAAATAGCAGTTGCTTTTGCGGAGTTTTACATCAGGCCTGCGGGAAGAGCTCGCTGCTGGTTTAAGCCCAGAGGAGGGAACAGGTCTGCGCTGCCTGAGGACCGGAGCAAGCCGCAGGGTCCCCACCCGCCCTGCCGAACTCCAGTCCCCGGCAACGGTGCTGCCCGCACTTGGGAGCTGCCCGCACCGAGCCGGGCACGTTCCTCCCTCGACCAGGGAGCTCCCAGCCCGGCCCCGCTGGCTCACCTCGGCCGCGGGGCTGGCTGTGCCCCGGTTCCCGCTGCCCGGTGCTCTTCCCGCGCCGCTCCTCGGCACAGCGCGGGCTCGGCGGCTTCT